AAAAAAAAAAAAAACGAAAAAAAAAAGAAAAAACAAAGAAATGCAAAGATTCTTTTAAAAAGTTGTGCATTTGCAGAGTTTGTCAAAATTGGAAACAAGTAAATGTTCCACCAACAGTAAAAGGTGAAACAAGTTATGATCTTTTCACTTGATGAAATGAGCAGAAATAAAACATGAAATAAAATCGTGTCCTTGAAGAATAATTTATTTATTATTTTTATTATATATTTTATATTTTAAATTTTTATTTTATATATTTTTATTTATTTATTTTTCTTGCTTTGCTGCCCAGGCTGGAGTGCAGTGGCGCGATGTCGGCTCAGCTCAACCTCTGCCATCTGGGTTCAAGTGATTCTCCTGCCTCAGCCTTCTGAGTAGCTGGTACTACAGGTGCCCGCCACCACACATGGCTAATTTTTGTGTTTTTAGTAGAGTTGGGATTTCACCATATTGGCCAGGCTTATCTTGAACTCCTGACCTTGTGATGCACCCACCTGGGCCTTCCAAAGTGTTGGGATTACAGGCGTGAGCCATGGTGCCTGGCTATGATTATGATTATTATTATTATTTTCTTTAGGCAAAATTCTTTTTTTCTTTTTTTCAGAGACAGGGTTTCACCATATTGGTCAGGCTGGTCTCAAACTCCGAACCTCAGGTGATCTGCCCGCCCCGGCCTCCCAAAGTGCTGGGATTACAGGCGTCAGCTACCGCACCCAGCCAAATTGTTCTTTTTTTTTTTGAGATGAAGTCTCACTCTGTCACCCAGGCTGGAGTGCAGTGGCATGATCTTGGCTCACTGCAACCTCCGCCTCCCAGGTTCAGGCAATTCTGCTGCCTCTGCCTCCCAAGTAGCTGGGATTACAGGCGTGTGCCATCACGCCCAGCTAATTTTTGTATTTTTAGTAGAGACGGGGTTTTACCATGTTGGTCAGGCTGGTCTTGAACTCCTGACCTCAAGTGATCCACCCGCCTTGGCCTCCCAAAGTGCTGGGATTACAGGCATGAGCCACCGTGCCCAGCCCATGGCTATTATTTTTTGAGATGGAGTCTCACTCTGTTGCCCAGGCTGGAGTGCAGTGGCACAGTCTTGGCTCACTGCAACCTCCACCTCCTAGGTTCAAGCAATTTTCCTGCTTCAGTCTCCCAAGTAGCTGTGGATTACAGGTGCACACCACCATGCCCAGCTAATTTTTGCATTTTTGGTAGAGATGGGGTTTCACCATGTTGGTCAGCCTGGTCTTGAACTACTGACCTCAAGTGATCCACCTGCCTTTGCCTCCCAAAGTGCTGAGATTACAGTTGTGAGCCACCATTCCTGACCTTGAAGATTTTATATTGAGAAATATTTTATAATGCAAAACTATGCATAACATTGTGAAAAAATATACATGGAAAAAGTATTAAAAATTAATAGTTAATTCTGGAGGTTGTAATAAATTGATTTATATTTTTATGAGTATGAGTACTTTATAATAGAAAGATACTAAAACATTATACTAATCTGGGAACTCAGAACTCTGGACTCTTAGGGAAACCTTTTTTTTTTTTTTGAGACAGGGTCTTGCTCTGTCAGCAGGCTGGAGTGCAGTGGTGCAATCTTGGCTCACTGCAACCTCTGCCTCCTGGGTTCAAGCCATTTTCCTGCCTTAGCCTCCTGAGTAGCTGGAACTACAGGTGTGTGTTACCACACCCAGCTAATATTTTTTTGGATGTTTAGTAGAGATGGGGTTTCACCATGTTGGCCAGGATGGTCTTGCTCTCTTGACCTCGTGTTCCTCCTGCCTCAGCCTCCCAAAGTGCTGGGATTACAGTGTGAGCCAC